ATTCAATGAAATTTTTTTAGTGATGAATGTAAGTCGATCAGGACACCCTTAGTCTTATTATACTTAAATCATAATATAATTCACATACCGAAGATCGAGTCTTGTATCTCGCTCCAGAAACCTCGTGCCCTTTGATTTTTAATAAATATTAAGGTTTAAGGTATATATAAGATTTTATTTGAGAAAAAGAAGGAAAGGAAAAACTTGAATATCTACGCAACTCACAAGGCATAGTTGTAAGAAAAATTTGCCACTTAATATTTGTCTTGGGGAAGTTCCACCCCCCCTAATAGGGGGTGCCACTTCAGCATTATGGACATCATTATGGTGTCCATTATGTCAAAGTAGAATAATTCATATAATTATGGCAACAGTGCAACGAGAGTTTGTTGCATAATTGCTTTAGGGAAACAAGTAAATTATTCCTTTGAAAGTAGTTGGAATAATGGCCAGTGTACTTTGACAATTAAAAGTTATCAAGCCTTTTATTTGGACAACACACGTGTACTTTGACAATTAAGAACAAGATCGATCCGTTGTCTTAGACAAGATTTCAATACACGAAATTTTATTTTCTTTTTCTTTTTAAATATTTTAGTTTTCATTTCACCTTACTAAATATGATGAGTTTTTATCTTTCTATTCTACTCTGTCATATTCTACTTGGCTTAATTTCTAAATTCATGTGGTGCACTGTGTGAATGATTGCTAAAAAAAAAAAAAAAAAAAAAATTCAATTTTTTTAATTTTTATTTTTTCTATTGTGCTACATGTATATAATGATTTACATACATATGATGTGGTGAAATATAATTGTATCATAATTTTCTTACTCTCTTTTTGACATCTCATCTATATGTAAACAATTATCAATCTTTTTATGTACAAGTCACATTGTTTTCAATTATCTTTGTCGTTACATGATTTTATAAATCAATACACTAAGATATTTATGGCTCGTTTGACAATACTTTTGAAAAGTAAAAAATTATTTTTAAAATTAAGAAGTTATTTCTGTACTTGTTTGTATTATCTTTTTAAAGTATTTTGTTGACTAGAAGAATTTTTAGAGAAAAATATCATAATTTAACTATTAGAAGAAGTTTTTCTACAAAAACCAAAAGTAAAGGTAGAAATCTTACAAAATGACACTTTGTATTTTAGAATTGTGTTAGACATAAATGGCACGTCAACAATGAATTTAGACATATTAAGTCCATTTAAAAATTTGAATATCACATGCCTTGAAAGTGAAAGATGATGAGGGCCAAAACAAAGTTCCAAGTTCAAAACACAACTAATTCCAACCATCAAGATAACTCTATAAACTGACATAGATTGAAACTGGCCAGCCAGCCACAGTTTGAGACATCTTGTCAACTTGGAAAAAGTTTTTCCTTTGTTTCTTGTGATGATTTTATTATATCACTGTACATTTCAATAATGAAAGTAAATGGAAAAAAAAAGGGTTATATATAGTGACTCACAAATTAAAGTAAAAAAAAAGTAAAAGTTCTATATATTTTTGTGTGCATTCATTGATGTTGTCGAATAATGAATATCAAACCAGTTCAAAAAAGCACGATGAACATCATCTCTTTTGTCATATTGGTACTTATACTAGATAACAATTTGGTTAAGTTCATTTATAGACGAATTTTTGTATGAATATACCGACGTCTTTTAAATGATTATATTCTCTAAATGCGAAAATCAAGATGCTAAATAAATGAGGATTACACTATTAATATAGCACAAAAATTTTTAGGTGATAATTTAATATTTATAACCAAATAATAGAAGCATATTTTATCTTTGCACCATTATTTTGAAGGGAAAATCGATTTTAGCTCAACTATTATAGTATTTGGTGCTTACTCTCTGTAGAAATTTGAATTCTAATAGTACTAATTACCAATCTTACAAACTATATTTAATCACATTGGTGTATAAAATAGTAACAGGGCTGCCTGTCATGAGGCCATGTTGCTTTCATCAAGCATGAGAGATTGGGGATTGATCATTAGTTTGATCATGATTACGTATAGAATAGTTAAACTCGAGCAAACAAACTTTTGACTCACGAACTCGTAAGTTGGGTGACATTCAATGAGATTTTTTTAGTGATGATTGTAAGTTGATCAAGATACCCTTGGTCTTATTATACTTAAATCATAATATAATTCACATACCAAAAATCGAGTCTTGTGTCTCGCTCCAAAAACCTCGTGTGCTTTGATTTTTAATAAATGTTAAGGGTTAAGGTATATGTAAGATTTATTTGAGAAAAAGAGGGAAAAGAAAAACTAAAAAGTTGCATGTGTATCACAACTCACAAGGCATAGCTGTAAGAAAGATTTGCCACTTAATATTTGTCTTGGAGAAGTTCTGTCCATGAGGGTGCTTGGTAGGGATTAAAATTAAAATTTTTTACTAGATTGTGATAAAAATTTTTGAAATATGTAGTTAAAAAGTCGTGGGATCCATGAAAAATATGGTTAATATTAATTATTTGAATGAAATCTATATCATGTGAATAAGTCCATTTAAAAATTTGAATATCACATGCCTTGAAAGTGAAAGATGATGAGGGCCAAAACAAAGTTCAAGTTCAAAACGCAACTAATTCCAATCATCAAGATAACTCTATAAACTGACAAAGATTGCAGCTGGCCAGCTAGCCACAGCTCGAGACATCTTGTCAACTTGGAAAAAGTTTTTCTTTTATTTCTTGTGATGATTTTATTATGGGAGTGTTTGATAGACATTTTTATATAAAAATGTATTTTAGAATAGTATATCGATGTGAAATATGTGGTTGAGAAATAAGGAAAAGTTTTTGATTTACGTGTAATATTATTTTAATAAAGAATGTGTAGTTGAAAAGAAGAGAAAGAAAAATGTATTTTGAAAAAAATAGCTACCAAACGGGTCCTATATAACTGTACATTTCAATAATGAAAATAAATGAAAAAAGGGTTATATATAGTGACTCATTGGTATGATAGATTGGATTGTGATTCACAAATTAAACTAAAAAATGAAAAAATTCTATATATTTTTGTGTGCATTCATTGATGTTGTCGAATAATGAATATCAAACCAGTTCAAAAAAGCACGATGAACATCCTCTCTTTTGTCATAGGAAAATTCTTGGTGTACATTATGACACCATAATGGTGTCCATAATGCAAACCAAGCACATCTCTTTGTTATATTGGTACTTCTACTAGATAACAATTTGGCTAAGTTCATTGATAGATGAATTTTTGTTATATACCGACGTCTTTTAAATGATTATATTCTGTAAATGCGAAAACCAAGATGCTAAATAAATAAGGATTACACTATTAATATAGCACAAAAAATTTTAGGTGAATATTTAATATTTATTACCAAATAATAGAAGCAGATTTTATCTTCGCACCATTATTTTGAAGGCAAAATCGATTTTAGCTCAAGTATTATAGTATTTGGTTGAATTCTAATAGTACTAATTACCAATCCTACAAACTATATATTTCATCATATTGGTGTATAAAATAGTATGGAGAAGCCACAAGTTGTACATTACTTTTCACATTTGATTGTAATTTATTTTATGAAAATTATGTGTACCAATGTTTTAGTGGGGTATTTATGAAATTATACTATCTTTGAATAGGATAGCTTGGGTATTGGGTACATCTCAAACTCATTTTCTCTATCCATGCAGTAACTGTCTAGGAGAATTAGAGGGCTAGTTCCTAATCTTTCTCAAATTAAGTATTGGGGTCCCTCAATCAAATTGTTCTAGTACATATATTTCTAACATTACATTCTTACTGCAGTTGGGTCCTTACTAGATAAAAATTGGTAAGTATCACATGTTTTGTGCTAACTTTTTGTTAATGGACCCATTTTTCCAATCGCCTATATTTCATTTCAAAACTAAACATCTAAAAAGGGAAGGAAAAAAGGAAAAGACCATCCTAGTTCGCACCTTCTGGTTTGCAAACTAGGTCAATCTTAGGTGGAAAGAAGCTCTCGATTCACGAATGAAGTGGGAATGGCGAAGTTATGGCTGATCCAACTGATGGGGTGGAGAGGGGTAGGATCTTTTCATTAAGTATGGCAACGGGGAAGAATAGGGGTGGGGTCAGGAAATTTAGGGCGAGTCGATAGTGAGGAGTTTCGTCATATCTACTTTTCATTTCCTTCTCTTCTTTTAGCTTAGCAGATAAATAGAGAAGGCTCGCAAAGATATCTCTAAAAAAGGACTAGCGTGCAACGTATGTGACACAAATTTATAGAAAATGACACTTTTCATCCAACATGGACCTACGTGTACCAATGATCAAAGATTGAGAATCAAATGTCATCAACCATAGATCGAGAAACAAAGCTTCATTTATCAAATGTTGAGGGCAATCTAGTAAAAATTTAGCCTCCATCTAGGAAGAATTTATAAATAATTTAATGAATAATATTTGCGGATACATTGAAATTGGTGATTGAAAATAAAATTTGACCATCTATAAATAATTTATAAATTTTACCAAAAGAATATTTAAGCCCCGTTTGGGAGGGATTTTGAGAATTGATTTTTTGACCGTTAGAAAAAAAGTGGAATCCACCTGTGATAGAAGAAGTCAAAAATTACGGTTGGAATAGTAAAATAATGGTCAAAAAATCAATTTTTTGGGGTAAAAAATCCCTCCCAAACAAGCTATTAATAGTAGCATCTATGTCTCATTGTCAATCATAGTTTTAGTCATAGCACGATGGACATCAAGGAATATTGTGAGGAGCTAATAAAATGTACTACTGGTCCTCTCGTGATCCAAAGCATGAAGAAGACATTTGAGAATCAAAGTGCCTATTTCCAAAAAGTTTGGGGACTTTCCAAGTGCAAATTTCCCCAATTAAAATCAGCACGAAGGGCATTATAGTCATTTCAACCCAACCACAGGAATCAAGTGTTCCTTTTTACCATTCAGTGGCTTAAGATTACACAATCAACAAAATAATAATCATTTTGTCTGAAGTACAGAGTAACCTCATTATTCATTCCTCCCCCTTCAGATCCTTCTCGACACTGTAAATATTTGGAGAGAATTATAGATATACACACACAAACATACATATATATACACCAACTCTAGGTTTTCTTGAAAGTATGGTGTACCCCAAACCATCACATTATTAGCAAGAGAAAAGGGATTGAAATGTGTGTATGGTCTGAACTTGAATCCGATGATCGGGCAGGGTTTTGAAGATCTTGCAATGATATTGCCAAGGTCAGTTTATTGGCTATCATCTCAAGTTTTGTCATAAATTACTGAATTTCGAATTTGCAGTTGCTGTAGAAATACAGATTCAGCATGTTCACATTTTTTGGGGTTGAGCTTAGATTGAGGTGTCATTTGAAGTTATGTTCTTTAAAAAGATCTGAATTAATTTCGATTTTATGTCAATTTGGATTAGTTTGCTCTATTGTTAAAGTTCCATTGTAGACACATTACTGAATTGAGATCTTATTAGACAGTTAAATTTGCTTTCCATGTATACTTTGTGGGATTTTTTGTTGGTTTTTAGTAACTTATTTTGGTTCATAACTTGAATCCAAATTCATCGGTGTAATGCAGGTTGTAGGTGGGATTAGATTTTTGCTTATAAGTAGAATTCGATATATTCCGCATAGAAGAACATATATAAAACAAGCCAAAGAGAAAGCTTGAATGATTTGTGTGTTGTGAAAATGAAATCGGACGTGCATCTGGATTATGCTGAATTCTGTCTGTCACCAAAACGCTTACGGTGAGGATGTCTAGTTGATTACATTGGATGTCGATTTTTCATAAATGGCTGAATATTATATTCTTAGTTATTTATTTCGAGTTCTTTTTGTCTAGATGCGAATTGTTTGTTTCCAGCGATGGAAACACAGAGAAACTGGCATCAGGATTGGTTAAACCATTTGCGGCACATTTGAAGGTAGCAGAGGCACAGGTTGCATCGGCTGCACAGTCTGTTAAACTTGAAGTTGGAAGCTGTAAAAATTCTGAGACATGGTTCACAAAGGGAACACTTGAGAGGTATTGCAATTTGCAACTTGTTATGGAATATATTCATTAACAAATTTCAAGATGACAGTGAATGGTGATTCCTCTGTTAAGGTTTGTGCGATTTGTGAACACACCAGAGATTCTGGAACTGGTCAATAAATTGGATGATGAGATTTCCCAACTAGAAGCAGCCCAAAGAATATATTCACAGGTACTTTTATAAATTCTGATCTTTAGTTCACAAAGTGTCTAAATTTTCATTTTGAAATTATATGCTTGTCACGGTAAGTAGTGAGTGCATGAAATTTGCTAATGTGTATTTCTCCAGTCATTGGTTCTCATAATAAGGTGGGGCGGTAAATTAATGAAGGTTTATCAAGTGCTCCACGTTGTTGCCTTTAATGTTCATTTGGCAGTGTTGTAATTGGAATGTACACTGAATTACTTTCCATCAATTTCAGGGAGCAGGAGATCAACTTTATGATACGGGTCTGTTCTATTTTCCCTATCGATTTAGTTAATCAGTTTCTCTGATTCTTTGTTATCTTGATTTTCCGATCATGCTGACCTAAGAAAATGATGTTACCAATTGAGCTGAGATAATGCCTATCATCTTTCTGAAAACCTGAACACTTCAACAATGAGTCTAACACCAATGTGCGTATATGGTTTACAACCACTGAATATGCTAGAATATCAAACATAAATGTGTGACTTTTGAACTCGGAATTGAAGAAATGAATAACTTTCAAGAATTTTGCTACCTCAATATAGTTGCAAAAGTTTCTTTATTAAGCCTCGAACTCTCAAAACGCTGAAGTGCCAAACTTAGTAGTGCCCATATCCCAGGATTTTGAACAAATATCCAAACGGATTACAGGAGTATTTACACTTCTTTTCAAATTGTTGATGCCAGTTGGGGATTGATTTTTGATGATGTTATTGCAATCCATTTAATTTAACAAAGTCAATTTTACACTAGCTGTGTTTCATTATTACTTGATGTCAAAATTCAGTTGGACTATTTGGTCCACCACAAGGACTTGCTTCCATAAATATATCTGCTAAACAGGAACAGCTTTGAGAGCTCCACCACACCCGGGAGGGTCATGAGTGATCTCACTCCCTACTTTTATAGTCATTTTCATAACGTGGAGAAACTGGCTTTGAAATTCTCGAGTCTCTTCATTTAGGAATACGTGATCAAGTTTTTTTCCTTTAGCTGTTAGTCATCTGAACAGTAATTCTGAATTCTGAATTCTGAATTACGATTACCTATGTGCCTATTTCTAGTCAGGGAGTTCTTATTACTACTCTGACTTGATTATTGAATCTATGCATTACTCTAGGTGAAGCAAGTGCGACTGTTGCTGCTGATGCGACGAAGTACTACCTCTCTCTTTCATTTATCTTATTTCTCATTCTCTGTTGTATTTCAATGCGTAGAGTGTTTATGGCGATCATTTTCTCTTCACATTCTTTTTTGGCTAGTAGTAATTGGTGCTACATTATGTAAATTAACCCGCCTTCCCCCATTGATGATAGGAAGGAACTTCTAAGAGCATTTGATGGACGGATTGATGCAGTTATGCAGAACTTGTCAACGGAATATGCTCGTGCTGCTGCTGCTGGTTTCAACGTTAAAACAGTCTCGGAACTTCAAATGTTTGCAGAAAGGTTTGGCGCGCATCACCTGAAGTAAGAACTCTGAAAATCCTTGTATACTTCATTATCATTGCCCCAGGTCCACCATGCTTTGTGCTGCACTGTGCCCACTTGTTTGTGCATGCTTTTCTTGTGTCTTTCACTTTGGCACATGAATGCACAGATGAAGGTTGCACGGAAACTTCTAAAAAAAACTAGTGTTCTCATAGCGAACACGTTTTAGAAATTGAAACTCATCGAATATAATAGGAAACATTTTAGAATCAAGAAATATTTACGATCTTTTTTAAATATAGCATAAACCCAAACGTGTAACGTCTACGAAGTCTAATTGGACTAATTTCATCATGATACTAGCAATTTTTTCACTATTGTGACCGTCGACTTTTGAAACGTTTAGGGTGTTATTGGATGAAAACCAACATCATTAGTTAAATTTGGTTAAATATCATTTTATCCTCAAGTCAAATAAAGAATAGAGAAAATTAGGATTGGTCACCTCGACCTTTCATGGAATGTGGTTACAGGTTCTTGGCTTTCAAAAGTGAGGTCATAAATTCCTAACTTATTTAAGAGTCCGTTTGGTGCATATTTTTTAGATGAAAATGCATTTTAAACATCATATCGCGGGTCCCCCATTAGAGTGTAGAAGTCAAAAATTGTGTGCTGATGTGACGGAAAAAATGCATTTTTGGCTCCAAAAATGAGGACCAAACAGGGGCTAAATATATTATTGTGGTCCCACATAACCAAAACTGTCAGTGTTTAATTAAAATTGCGCAAAAATTGAAAGAATTTTGTTGGCTGTATTGGGCCTGCACAAGTCACTCACATGCCAACGTGGGTCGACGGGGGATGAGTGATTATTTAAAAAAAAAATTCACTCACCCCATGCATGTGTGAGTGACCTTTACAGGCCCTGTGAAAATAGGATTTGTACTGCCAGTAAAGTCAACTTGAAATGAGAGAAACGTTTAAGTAGTTTGACTATTTTGCCCTCCATATTTAAGTCGCTTGAAATTCTAATGCAATTTTAACTTATATGTTGATAGTTTCGATAACAAAGACATAGATTTTAAAAATTTAAATAAGTTTAGGATTCGAAATGTCTCCATCGAAGATAGGGAGTGTTATGATCACGCCCGTGAAAGGTTGGGATGGGCCAATCCAATTTTTTTAATTAAAGAATAGAGAAATTTACAAAAAAAAAACAGTGCATCTTGGTTTTATTTACAATTTGCAACCATACTTTGAAAATTACATTTTAATACTGTATTTTATTTATTGGTAATAAAAGCATATTATACTGGAAAAAATATAATTATCTACCTTAATTAAAAACAACAGATCACGCTATATATTTTGACTACTATTTGTTTAATTATTTTGTTATTTTTTAAAAATTAATTACTAGAAGCTTATCATTTTTTATTGAATGCATTTTTCTTTGACGAAATTTATCATTTTCATTTCTTTAAACTACAACAAGGAAAATAGAAAATAAATTTAAATGAAAGTCTTAAAAAATAGTAAAAAAACTTCATCTAAAATGTTTCCAACATTATAAAGTGGACAAATGGAATTATTGGCTGACGTCATTTAATATAAGTTATGTTTAATAAATATATTTTTTTTAAAAATTATGTATGATATTATTTATTATTATGCATCTTAAAATGAATTTCTTATTTATTTTAAGTTCAAGTTATAATGTTAAATTGTTTTGCAATTTAACAAATTTTCAAAGATTTATACAATTTTTTTTTTCGTTCTTTAATGTTTACAAGAGCTAAAATATGTAATTCTGTGTGATAAATGAAAATTAAGTCCCTGTTTGATTTAGATGAAAATAAGAATTTTAGTAGATATCGAAAAAACTTAAGTCCCGTTTGGGAGTGATTTTTCACTTAAAAAAAATTGATTTTTTGATCGTTATTTTATTATTTCAACCGTAATTTTTGACTTCTTCTTTCACATGTTGCTCCCACTTTTTTTCTAATAGTCAAACAATCAATTCTCAAAATCACTACTAAACAAGCCTTTAATGTTAAAAAGTTATGAATCTTATTAATATGTGCGCTTAAAATTATTTAAATTGTAATCAATTTTTTAGATGAAACAAATAGAAGCTAATATATATCAAGTTAATATTACATTGAAAATGCTTGAATTAAAATCAACAGAAAATTAATTTATGAAACATAGATGTAAGGGGGAGTTAAATTTTTTGATAGAGAGTAATAGAAATTACAATATTGAAGAATAATAAATGTTATGTAAAGTATTAATGAAAAATGTAGGATGTACTCTGTGATTTTAATTAGGGATGCATTGGTTTGTTTAGTGTCTGTTTGATGCATATTATTTTATTTTATGATTTTCTACATAATGAAATATTCATACAATAAAATATTTTATACGTATATCAAAAAAATTTCCCTATTTTTAAACCACAAATTTTTCTAAAAATCACTAATCAAAATTTTTTTATCTACAATAATGATTGTCGAATAGACTTTTAGTTATTTACATTTTACAATAAATAATTAAATATTTTCATTTATTACTTCAAAATGTTTTGTTACCATTAAGTAAAATTCAGTGTTCAAAACGTAATTTTGTAAAATAGAATATGCAAATTGTAAACACCCCCTAAATGCAGGGGGCGTTTTTGTAATATTTCAATTATATATACAGAAGAAGAAAATTACGAAAAAAGGTGAAAAATAATTACATTCTGAATTCCGCTGGTAATTTTTCAAAACAGCGAATCCTGCGGCAAGTTCATATCGTTGTCGGAGAGGCGGTCCCACCTAATTAACCCATGGAAGTTCCGATCCGACGATTGGGTCGTCCGATCATCATACGGGTCGGACGCTTCAATCGTCGACGATTTGTCCTCCTCACCACCTGCGGAGCCCCTTAAACAGCACGATGGATCCTCCGGATACCAGCAGCAGAAACCCCGCCCGGTCGCCTCCCCGTTACGATGCAGTTTCAGCCGAGGATCCACTGTCGATGCCGTTGCTGCAATTGATGAGAAAGAAGAGAGCACAGCTTCTGATCAGGCTGAGTCAATTCAGGCTTCTCAGTCCACGGCGAGGCGACTCAGCGTGCTGGACCGGATAAGTTTGTTCGAGAACAAGCAGAAGGAGAATTCTTGGAGTGGGGCAAAGCCCGTTGTTGGAAAGTCTGGTGAGCTCCGGAGGCTGTCATCTGACCTATCCTTGGCGCCATCCACTGCAGCGGAGAAGGCAGTGTTGAGGAGATGGAGTGGCGCCGGTGACATAAATGTTACAACAAATGCTGTTATGTCAGAGGCCAATACTGCTACAGGTTTGGGTCTCGGTCCAATTAGTGAAAATGGTTTGAAAGATTCTTCTTTTGACAAGTCAAAAGATACTATTGATTCTAGTAATTCAAATCGTGATTTGGATTCTGGTGAAAGTGATTGTTCGAAAGATCAAACGAATGGGAAGACTCAATCAAGATTGTTTATAGGCAGGCCCAAGGATCAAGAAAATTCAGAAGAGAAGTTCAGGTTTTCGCCTGGCGGAACAAGTGAGGAAGTGATTGGTTCTAGAGATGAAGTGAAATCAAAGGGTTTTCAGAGTGGTGAAGATTTTGGTGGGCAGGCTGAAATCCGAAGTCAAGGTGAAAATTTTGAGTCACGATCAATTTTGCAGGCTCCTCAGAAGACTGTGAGAGACTCTGGGCCAGATGAGGGCGGTACCGGATCAAAGATTAAAGAGGATTTTGCTGCTCTCTACATAGGGATTGAAGCAGAATCAATGGGGGCGCGTAAGGAAATTGAAAAGAAAGAACTTGCCTCATCCAAGAAGTTATCTGTTAGTTTTGCATCAAGAGTCGAAGATTCTGCATCCCAGGGAATGAAGCTCGAGAGGCAAGTTTCAGCACCTGAACAGATCAAGAAGACAGAAGCTTTGAGAGAAACGAGTTCCAGTTATGGAAATAGTCGGACACCATTCTCTGGTAAATTGATGACACAAGCTCAGGAAGGCTTTGATTCATTTAAAACGCCACCTCCAGATCAAAATCAAGTTCAATGGGTAAGGCAGTCAAAAGGAAGTCAGGAACTGAAGGATCTGAAAACGAAAGCCACTGAGCTTGAAAAGCTCTTTGATGAGCATAAACTACGAGGTACTGGAGATCAGTCATATACTTCCCTCAGAGGCAAGTCTGCTAACATTCGGCCTAAACAAGTAGCAGATATAGCTCTCTCTCAATTGTCTGATAATTACCCATCAACTGAATCTGCTAGGAGTCCTAAAAACAAGACTGGATTCATTGCTGCGCCACTTTTGGGAACTGTTGACACTCAGAACTATAGTGATGATTTAAACAAAGACTTCAATGAGCTTAGTGTTTCAGAATGTTCTCGTGGCAAATTCTATGATAGGTATACACAGAAGAGAGATGCAAAACTAAGGGATGAATGGTGTTCCAACAGAGTGGGGAAAGAAGCAAAGTTGAAGGCTATGAAGGATAGCCTTGAGCAGAGTAGAGCTGAGATAAAGGCCAAACTTTCAGAATCTGCAGATAGACATGATTCAATTTCCAGTGCCCGTCGACGCGCTGAGCGACTCAGATCATTTAACATCAATTCAAGTACGATGGACCAGGTAGATTCATATTCTAGAGATATATGCCACTAATGATTGGTAACATTATTTTGTATCCATTTCGTTATTTTAGAGTTTACTGGAATTTGTATTCTTCGATTTTTAACCCACCATGTAAAAGTTCTCTTTCGACAGCAACATTTGGAATTTGGGAACAGTGAAGGAGATGAAAATGCTTTAGAGTTTCTAGAGCAGAAGCGTGCTCGTGATAATATGGTATCAGATGCGACCTCTTGCGTGGATGATGGCAGTAGGAGTGTGCAGGAAAAGAAACTTTTACCCACTAAAAGTATGCGCTATTCTACACCTCGCCAATTAGCAGCTCCTGCTCCAAGGGCTGCTACCAAAGTTTCCAGTATTAATACTGGGAGACGAAGAATGCAACCTGAAAATGCTCTTGCACAATCTGTTCCCAATTTTTCTGACCTTAGAAAAGAAAATACCAAACCTTGTGGTGGAACCAGTAAAATGATTCGTCCACAAGAAAGAAACTCTGCCAGCAGCAAGAGCAGGAGTGAAGAAGCACAAATTGTTGAGGAGGAGAAGTCACGCGATCACATTTGCTGAGAAAAAGCTCCGCAAATCCCGTAGATATCAGGGACATGTCTCCGCTGGACTCCAGTGGTGGTGTAATGGCACCACTAAAATTTGATGAGGAAATTTTGAGCAATGTTCAGACTAGGCCTTTTTCTAAAAATGGGTAACCGCACAGGATTTGCTGCTAGAGCAAGTATTTTAAAGAAAGAACCCCCTTGTCATCTGAGCCTATAATTGATGATGAAAATAATGACCTGAGTCATCTGGGCAAGACGACTTCGTAAACATGGTTAATGATAAAGGAGGGGAAGGGTGTGAGACCATGAACCCTGAAGGTGATAGCAACTTAGACAATGGAGAAGAAAGAATGAACTTGGAATCAGAGAGTTTGTTCAATTCTGTATCAGAAATTGGTGATTCTATTGAGATCAATTTCTCAACTGAAGCAGGCTTTAGGTGCTAAGTTGCCACCTAGTATGCCTTCCAGCTTCCATCCTTTTAAATCTATGCAAGATTGGCCTGGGGGAAGTCCCATGTCATGGCACTCAAGCACTCAAAATCCCTTTTCTCATTCTAATGAGATGTCTGATGTTGACGCTTCAGTGGACTTGCCAGTAGGAAGCCCTGCTTCGTGGAATTCACATTCTTTAAGTCAAATATAGACTGATGCAGCTTGAAGGAGGAAGAAATGGGGAACATCTCAGAAGCCAACACCGACGACATCTTCCTCCAATAATTCACCTTGCAAGGATATGACTAGCGGATTTAAAAGTTTTCTAAATTTTGGTTGGAAAAATCGTGGCTCAGAGAGTTTTGTTGATTGGATCTCTGTAACCACGTTTGAAGGAGACAGTGATACAGAAGATGGATGGGATCCTGCCAATTGGCCATCAGAAGATCTGAGGAAGTCGAGAATGAGATTTTCTCAAGCACAACCTTCTGATGATAGCTTCAATGAACGTGAGTTTTCCAAGGAACAGGGTGAATTATGATATTTCATTATCTAATAACTTTTTCTGTTTGTTTACTAGATCAGTTATTTTTGGCACCTAGTTTTTATTATTTTTGTCCTATTTGAGTTTAATTTATAGTAACATCATGTGATAAATTATATGTAATTTCAACAATAGCACTTTGGTTTTGCAAATTTTGGACCCAATAGTTATATGCCTCTAGTTCTGGAATACAATGGTCAACTCCCTTTCGACATTGTGTTCTGAAAACGGGCTCCGGAAATGTGACTAGTATTTATGTTCTGGGTTTTATGGCGCAATATTGTTGGAACAATTATTTGAAAGGCATGCCTAAACATGTGAAGCATAGGATGAATATTATTTGTCGCTCTTTTTCTTGATGATCTACTGTTCATTTTTCACAAACTCACAGTTTGTTTGTTTTTTTTTTCCCTCTCCTTTACAATTTCGGTATGATGGTCCCCCATCCCCCAAAAAAAAAAAATAAAAATAAAAAATTCTCCCTCTTCCCGATATTTAAGTGAAATTGCAAAATGATTACAACTGACTGAATCCACAGTTCTTATTGGCATGTAACGATGCTAGATTGAGAGTAGGTTTGGTCAGTAGTTTCTGTGGCTTAGCTTTGTTTTGATGTATTATTCATCTCCAATTCTTTCAGTCTTGACTTTTTTATATTTTTCTTTAATATTCAATTGATTTAGACATGCCCTTTTCTTCTTACAGTTGAATCTTCACACAATTCTATCCCAGCACCTCCGACTAATTTCAAGCGGGAGGATCAGATGTCTGGAAGCTCAATTAAAAGTTATTATTTACAAATTTACATATATTTTCTAATCAGCAACTTGGTAAATGGTATGACCTGGAAATACACACATCACTGCACATTACATTGGGTGCTTTGGTGTTGTTGCTCGAATAAAATATATATAGAGGTTAATGAGCTTTCTTTGATCCACTGGCCATCAGACTGATAGCTCTTGCTTTTGATTGGCACTCACTCCTATTTTTGCTCATAAAGCCTATATTATCATTCTGACCCAAATTTCGAGCAAATCAATCTAGTTAAGTTGAGGAGACAAAGTGAAATGACACCCAACGTAAAAAATATCTGTAAACTTGGGAAAGTCTATTGTTTAGGGGGAAAATGACAAGAAGATATTGGAACATCAATTTGGAAGAGATGATGGAGATGTCTCTTGTTTAAGAATTAACTTTTCCTCCCTTGAGTTCTATATTGAGGATAAATGTTTTTAATTTATGAATAGATAAAAATGAGTGGCGAATAAGTAGATATTACTTGTAGGTCTATTGGAATGTGAGGTTGAATTCATTTATAAATGAATTGTAAATTTGCCGTTCGGAGGCTTAGTGATATGTAAGGCGAGTACTATAAAGAAATTCTACTTTTGATGTTGAAGCTGGACTAAATAAATGGATTAGTTTGCAGCTCCTTTTATTCTAAATATATAGGAATGTGAAATATATCTCTGTTTTAGCAACAACACAAATCTTCTATGATTTCTTTGTATGTAGTTTCCTGAAAGAAGATTTAACAAATAACAACGTTCTTGGTTTCTTATACCTCATCCTGGTTTTACAGCTCCAAGGTCGTTTTTCTCATTATCACCATTCTGGAACAAGGGAAGTGAATCAAAGCCTAGATAATTCTTTCCAGGAGAAAGGCTGTCCAGTGCACAAATGCAAAATGCTTGGGATTGCCTGTATCACTGAGGATATAGATTATTATAAATACAGTAGCAAATAATGGAAGTAGGCAGTAACTACAATTAAGATAATTTACGATTCTAAGTCTAGCTTCATGGATTTCAGTGGCCTTCTGCGGGATTTAGTTAATTCTTGCATTTTTTATACAAAAATATTATGATGTATATTGTATAGAGCAGACAATTCCAATTAGCATTCATTTTTGCAATTTCCTTTTGAGTTAGATTTGTACGAGAACTCATTGGATTCAAATATCGACAAGCTTAAAGAAGAATTAATGTGATTGTGACAGTATAATAGCTTGTGGAACTGAGTAGCTATGCAGCATTTGTTTCATTCTTTCTAGTCTTATAAACAAAGGCCAACATGATATGGTCCAGATATTCAGAGAGTTACAAATAAGAACAATTTCATTTTTTTTTTTGGCCCATGTTAGTCTATACTAACATGTCTTGTGATGCTCGGACTCGGCATTTTGGCAGGAGGTCGTTCTATATTATATTTCTTGCATGTTTTCATTTTTTGGGGTTTAGGTAGAGGTGACAATTGGATTGAGCGGCTCATTAGCTTGTCCTCTCAACTTGTCTGAGCTTGGCCCATGGGCTATTTGGGCTCGTCGAGTGGCTCATGGAAAATGAGACTGAACTGACACATTTGTTGTAAACGTGACCGTTCAAAAAATAAATAAATAAATAAATAAAAATTGTGTGTGTGTGTGGGGGGGGGGGGGGGGCAGCTAGGTGATTCCTTTGTTGATCTGATAGTGTGATGTATCTGACCAAGAATGCTGCTGACTGTTTTTTATTTATACTTGGGAGCATTTGAATGCTGCTGAGTGGTATTTACTTGAATTTTAAGATGCAATAATTAAAATTTTACTAGAAAGAAATAACGAATAAAATCATATACGTTTTTTTGTCTTACGGCCATACAGAAGCTACAGAGCGATGATGCTAAACATGCTTTAAATTAATGGGAAAAAGTAACTTATTTTTTGCATATGTTTGGTTGTCTTATTGAATCGTAATTTGTTTCTAGAGGAGAAGACTTATGAAGTATGAACAAAGGAACAGCCACAAAGTACTGCTCATGTTCTTGAATTCTTTAAAGCAAACAAGAAACTCAGCCAATTTGCCGGCTAGCTCTTTGCTAATACACAGCCGGCCTGCCAATGTTAAGTTGTTTTATTACATGGAAGTTAGAAAGGAACACGAATGTGTCCAAATTTAAACAATCAAATATTACAGAAGACAGACTGGAAGCTGGCAAATCGATGAATGCAAAGACTTTGATGGTAAAAACTAAGTTTTGATGCTGTGTTAGAGCATCAAAACTGTCGGAAGCATGCGAATATCCCGAGTCTTCCCTACTTTGCTTCATAGGACAGCTAGTTAGCTAATATATGCTTGTGCTCTCTCAATCCCTCTCTCTTATCTGTCTGAGGGTGTCGACTGGTCCGTCATGGATCGACATTCATTTGAGATCGAGAATTCCTCGTCTCACCGACGACGCTATCGATCTCAGGCTAAGTCTCAGCATCAGTTCACCTCATTTTCAAGTTCCAGCTCTTACCAGTTCTCTCAATATCAGACTCCTCGTAGAAGGCGGAACCTCACTCCATCCACCCCGTTTGCCTCTGATTATGACAGGTCATGGCAAGGCGAGCTCTCGTGGCAGTTTGAACCAACCGGATGGCAAGAAAACCGTAACCTTGGGGCTGTACTTAGTCCATTTACAGCCAGTGCTGCTACTCCAGCTAGTACCATTAGCAGAATTTTTAGGAGATCAGCTAATGATTATTATCTTTCGCGTACTTATGGTGGTTTCCATAGCATTTCTAATCCATACTATGATACTTCTCACTCGGGGTATCATCCGGTCCCTTTGGGGAGACTTCAGCTCCAGAGTTACGTTGCCTCTGACAACGAGAATTCAATTTTCGAGAGGAGTTACACTTATGGTGAACATCCAGCAAAATCTGGTAAATTTCCGGTCATGGCAAGTATCAACGAAGGGAATGCTGGAAATCATGGTATTGCAGCTGAAAAAGATGAGCTTAGTATGACCGATTATGATGACATCAGTCGTCAAAGGCGCTTGATAGAGACTTACCGCGACTGCCAGCAGTATCAGGACCCGCGATGGTTTTCTGTATCGCGTGCTTATATCAAAGATAAAATTAAGGATGATCATGGAGGGCTCTCAAATTATCAGGAAATGTCACCACATAGTTATATTGATAACAGTCAACAGAATCACAGCCAAAATATTGGCACTTACAGGCAGTCCCCTAATTGTTTACATAATGTTAATGACGAATATGGCGACTTAAGTCTGAAGTCAGCTTTAACTGAAGAGGATGATGATGAAGATGATGCCGTAACCCCTCGATCAGTTGGGCTATTCGGCTTGTTCAAGTATTCAACCATGTTCGATTTAGTTCTAGTGTTATTGGGTTGTTTGGGAGCATTGATCAATGGGGGATCTCTTCCGTGGTATTCTTATCTTTTTGGCAATTTTGTTAATCACCTTGCCCAAGGAAAAAACAATGACAAACATCAGATGATGAAGGAAGTGGACAAGGTAATATAACTTTTCATATATAGCTGATCCTATAAATTCAAATTTACTATTATTTAATACTGTTTGCGATAGTGCAACCACATGATCAAGATGTCATTTGAGGAAATAATGATGCAATTCTGAGATGTTTAATGTAATACAGATATGCTTGCTTATGACTGGATTGGCAGCAGTTGTAGCGGTGGGAGCTTACTTGGGTAATGGACCTTTTTTTTTCATTTTATCTGATTTTGATATGAGGTTTAATGATGAAAATATTATTTTTTATTTCTGACCGCAGAGATTACTTGCTGGAGAATGGTGGGGGAAAGATCGGCTCATAGAATAAGAACAGCATACCTGAGAGCAGTTCTTCGACAAGACATAGGATTTTTCGACACTGAGATTAGTACCAGTGATATCATGCATGGAATCTCCAGTGATGTCGCACAAATCCAGGAAGTGATGGGGGAGAAGGTTGATCAAACTGACATTTTTCGTGTATTTCTTTGTGTAATGGAGAACTTATGCATGAAGTTTTCGCATAGTAATTTGAACATTTTGTTACAATACAGATTGCACATTTTGTTCATCACATATTCACCTTCATCTGCGGTTACATCGTTGGTTTCTTGAGATCTTGGAAGGTTTCTCTGGCAGTTTTTGCCGTCACCCCATTAACGATGTTCTGTGGCATTGCTTATAAGGGTATCTATGGCGGCCTAACTGCAAAAGAAGAGGTGAGACAAATCGAGTATAGGGTAACAATGCCTAATTACTGTGAGACTCCCTATTCTTTGTTATTAATTTATTACTGAACTTATTCCGTTTCTTTTTCTGAAGAACTCTTACAGGAAAGCTGGTAGCATTGCAGAGCAAGCCATAAGTTCTATACGAACTGTATTTTCCTTTGTAGCTGAGGATAACTTGGCTACAAAATATTCCGATTTGCTTGAGAGATCAGTGCCATTAGGGGCAAAAATTGGGTTTGCCAAAGGTGCAGGAATAGGGATAATTTATTTGGTTACTTATTCAACATGGGCGTTGGCTTTCTGGTATGGCTCAATTTTAGTGGCAAAGGGAAAACTCAAGGGAGGTGATGCCATTGCATGTTTCTTCGGTGTCAATGTTGGCGGCAGGTATAGCAAGCAAGGATCTTTGTTTTCAGTTCATATTAATTGCCTCATGAAGTAATAAGAATCTGATTAACATCTCTAATTTCTGAAGGGGATTGGCAATGTCACTATCGTACTTCGCACAGTTTGCGCAAGGAACTGTAGCAGCTAGTAGAGTGTTTGAAGTTATTGACAGGATTCCACTAATTGATCCTTACAGTCCTGAGGGAAGGAAGCCATCTAGTGCGCAAGGAAAAATTGAGTTCAAAGGCATTTCTTTTGCTTATCCATCTCGTCCAACTGTCCCAATTCTCCAATCTCTTAACTTAGTGATCCCCTCTTCAAAGACTCTAGCACTGGTTGGTATTAGTGGGGGTGGGAAGTCGACGATATTTGCGCTTATAGAGAGGTTCTATGATCCAATCCAGGGTACATTCATGAACTTCATTATTACGAATCACTAAAGCTACCTGATTATGAAGTATTACTAATATTCGTGTCATTTTGGCAGGTTACATCACCTTGGATGGTCATGATTTAAGGACATTGCAAGTTAAATGGCTAAGAGATCAGATAGGTATGGTTGGTCAGGAACCTGCCCTTTTTGGAACAACCATACTAGAAAATATTACGATGGGAAAGGAGCGTGCCACCAAGAAAGAGGCTGTTAAAGCTTGCATGGCGGCTAATGCTCACAATTTCATCTGTGGCCTTCCACAAGGCTATGATACTGAGGTTGATATGTGGAATTTTTCTTAGTCAATTAGTCTTGAGAATAATTTTTACCACATGCATATGAAAGTAGATCCCCTTACATCGTTACATTTTCATTTGCAGGTTGGGGATCGTGGAACACAAGTCTCTGGTGGTCAAAAACAGCGTATTGCACTTGCTCGTGCTATGATAAAAGACCCTACAATTCTTCTCTTAGATGAGGCCACAAGTGCCTTGGATCCAGAATCCGAAAGTGTGGTTCAAAAGGCCATTGATAAGATATCTGTAGGCAGAACTACCATTGTAATTGCTCACAAGCTGGCTACAGTCCGCAACGCTGATGCAATTGTTGTGCTCGACCGTGGTTCTGTTGTTGAGATAGGTAACCATCAGCAGCTGATGGAAAAAGCTGGATCCTATTTTAATCTTGTCAAGATGGCTTCAGAAGCACAACCTGTATTGAAGGAAAATGAAGTTCCAGCCCATTTGGATTCTACCCAGAATGAAAAATCTATGTATGATATATCAAGGACAAAGGATGTGTATGAAATATCAAGATCCAACTACCTGAAGTCAATTCAAGAAAACCAAGTACAGGAGAAAGAAGAAGAGAAACTGGAGTTGAGAAAATACCGACTTATAGATATTTGGAACCTGCAGAGACCTGAAATTATCATGCTGCTAGTGGGGTTGCTCATGGGTATGCTTGCAGGTGCAATTCTCTCCACATTTCCCTTGATTCTCGGCCAAGCGCTTAAAGTCTACTTTCTTCCCAACATGGATAAGTTGAAGAAGGAAGTTAGATACCTTTGCTATATACTGATTGGGCTAGGATTTGGTTGTATAATCTCCATGACACTCCAGCAAGGCTTTTGTGGTTGGGCTGGTACAAGGCTCACTAGACGAGTAAGGGATTTTCTGCTTCGAGCTATATTAAGACAAGAACCCGGTTGGTTTGATTTCAGTGAGAATTCCACAGGGGTACTCGTGTCTAAGCTTTCAATAGATTGTGTCAGTTTCCGGTCCGTTCTTGGTGATCGTTTTTCAGTCCTGCTAATGGGCTTAAGTGCAGCAGCTGTTGGCCTTGGTGTGTCATTTTATCTTGAGTGGAGATTAGCTTTGTTGGCTACTGCTCTCACCCCATTCACACTGGGTGCTAGTTATTTCAATCTAATCATCAATGTAGGGCCAAAATTAGATAACGGTGCATATGCCAGGGCTAGCAATATTGCTGCTGGTGCTGTGTCAAATGTAAGAACAGTGACCACATTTGGAACACAAGAACGCATAGTTCAATCTTTCAATCAAGCTTTATCTGAGCCTAAAAGATTGTCCATCAAAAGATCACAAATTCTTGGATTAGCTCTCGGCATTTCTCAAGGTGTCATGTATGGAGCTTACACCCTAACTCTTTATTTTGGTGCTTGCCTTGTAAAAAAAGGGTATACAGACTTTGGAAATGTATATAAGATTTTCTTGATACTTGTCCTTAGCTCATTTTCTGTTGGACAACTTGCTGGGCTTGCTCCAGATACTTCCATGGCTTCAACTGTAATACCATCTGTTTTCAGTATCCTTAATCGTAAGCCTCTAATAGACGGTGATAGCCAGAAAGGTAAGAAGATTGGAAACTCAAAGCCATTTGACGTGGACTTCAAGATGGTGACATTTGCATACCCATCTAGGCCAGAAATAATTGTGTTAAGGGACTTCAATATCAAGATAAAAGGGGGAACAATGGTGGCTTTTGTGGGGGGAAGTGGATCGGGAAAGTCAACAGTGATATGGATGATACAGAGGTTCTATGATCCAATTAGGGGAAAGGTACTATTGAGTGGGGTCGATTTGAGGGAGCTTAATTTGAAATGGTTGAGAAAGCAAACAGCTTTAGTGGGTCAAGAGCCGGCGCTATTTGCTGGGAGCATAAGAGAGAACATTGCATTTGGGAATCCTGATGCTTCATGGGTTGAGATCGAAACTGCTGCAAAAGAAGCTTATGTTCATAAGTTCATTTCCAGCCTTCCTCAAGGCTATGAAACAGAGGTAAGTTCAAATTCACAAAGAAAACCGTTTTTGCTAATGTTTGCTTAGGGCAGTATAAATATCAAGTGCAATAGGTATGCTGTGATCTGACAGGATTGGGCATTTTCATCTTTAATACTGTCCAATATTGTACAATCCAATTACCATACAAGCATTGGATGCATATTAGCACTAACGATGTAATTACAATGTTGTCATTTTGCCAGGTAGGTGAGAGTGGGGTTCAGTTATCAGGTGGGCAGAAGCAGAGAATTGCTATAGCAAGGGCTATGCTAAAGAAATCAAAAATTCTATTACTAGATGAAGCTAGCAGTGCACTTGACTTGGAATCGGAGAAACATGTCCAAAATGCTCTCAAGAAGCTATCTAAGCAGGCCACCACCATCGTGGTGGCACATCGACTGTCAACAATTAGAGATGCTGATTATATTGCTGTTTTGAATGATGGCTCAGTAGCAGAATATGGAAACCACGACGAGTTAATGGCTTCCCACCTTGATGGAATCTATGCTAACCTGGTTCGAGTAGAAACAGAAGCAAATGCATTGTCCTGAACTTCTTATGCGGTCCAAAATCTAGTCATGAAACAGTTTTCTTGTATTCATGAAGTCGAGTTCTGAGTGATCTGTAATTCAATGGTGAATCGAAATTCAGAATAAAGTTCTTGATGAATAATTTTTTCACACTTCATTAAATTTTGTATACAAGTGATGAGACAATTATCTGTAATTGATTTATGTGTGGCATTAAAAGAATCAGTAGCAGAACTTCTTATGTCATATAAATAAGTTATCAAAGTCTAAAATGAATTCTGTAACCAATGGCATTTCTTAAACCATCAGAAGTATAGTATTTTAAAGTTCAAGTACATCCCATTACAAGTAATTAGCAAAGTGCCTGCCAAATTACCTGCTCAACTATATCAATGGCTTGATCAATGCAAGTCATACTTCCATTACAACAGGAGAGGGCTGAAGATGGAGAGGCCGGGCACACGCTGAATTCTCAGATCAGAAATATACTCCAAGCGTGTCCTGCTTCTCCAGCTTCACTTACCCCCATTCCTTCCAAATTTCATATCGACTACTTGTTTTGTGTTTCATAAGCACTTTGGACGTCTACCCCCTTACAATTCCGTTTTAAAAGTGAGTTTTACCACAAAATATGAGTAGCGCATTTAATCTTGAGAGTTGGGAAGTCTGGTGTTCAGTAGTTAATCTTTAGAGTTTTCTTAAAAACTCAACCATTATTTTTTTGTTTTAAGCAAATTCAAATGTAGTTTGGCTTACTTTAGTAATTGTTGGAAGTTTGGCTGCCAAAAAAGAAGTGAATTAAAAATTTAGGGAGTCAAACTCAATTTTGAGGTCTACCAGTAGTCAATATTAAGGCAGGAAGACAGGCCACCTACCACAATAATAATGTGCTGTTGAGGACATATAATTAAAGAGGGAGAGGGTGATAAGGTTAAGAAATATTGGTTTCCGATTTCCCAAATTTAACGAGTTTTATATTGTCACTCAAATTTGTCCAATTTATTTCACTGAAAAGTTCAAATATAATTCAAATAGTGGCCTAATCCCACTGGCGCTGGCACCTGAATGCTGGGAATTTTTTTATTATTTTTTTACAATTTAACAAAAAACAATATAAAAGTTAAAACTTCAATTAATGCTAATTTTCTTTTATTTTAAGAAGATAGAGAACACCTAGATAAAATTCATAGAATACATTAGATATTAATTTAGACTTAATGCCTATTTCTTAGATATTAATCTCACATATATCAAAAAACTTTGCTATACCATATAAGTAGTAATCCATAAAAATGATAAAATCCATTGAAGCCGCTTTTAGGTCGAAAAATAATATTATATGGTATCAGTGGTACTAGGACACAAGTCTAGATAGTGCTATGAGATAGTTTCAACGAAATGTTGAACTAAGTGACTCATTTAATTATACTTATCATTTAATGTCACATTAGTGTCACATAACTGGTATTTAATAGTAGTTGTGCTATAACACTAGTATATGTGGTGCTATTTGATAAATTCAATAAGGTAAACTTTAGTAACTCATTTAATTGTACTTATTATTTAATGCCACATTAATACAACATAGATTGGTGTTTTAATATTAGTGGTGTTAAATAGTATTGCCTCTTGAAGAATAGTGTTATTTAGCATCAGTGATGCTATAACACCAGTAAGATTAGGCTATGTGATAGATTCAATGAAAGGTGGAATTAAGTTATTCATTTAATTGTACTTATCATTAAATGTCATATTAATGTTACCTAAACTGATATTTTAATATTAGTGGTACTAAATAGCATTACTCAAGATTGATTCCCTAAAAGTCAAACCATTTTCTTCCTCTTTCTTCTTTGAGATTTTATGTGATTAATTTTTAGGCCCTCTTCAAATTTATACCAACTTTTAGAATAGGCTTTAGTGTAATTTTCTTGTCTGAGATGCACATGCTAATTTTGCTCCAATTTCAATATCAAAATCTAGAAGAAAATCTGTTCCTTTTTTTAATATTCTACAAATTATTTGATTAGTAATTTATAACCCATTTTAAAAGGATATTACGAGTATGGATGGCAATCGGATCGAGCAACTCGTTGGCTTGCGAAAATAGGGCTCATGAGTGGCTCGAGCTTGTAAAAATACGAGCTCGAGCACGAGCCAAGCGGACTGGTGTGTTGGGCTCGGCTCGCACAAATGGCGAGCCACTCGTGGGCGAGCTCGGGCCACGAGCCACGATCTCACCCACGAGCCGCTCAGCTCGTGACTCATGGAAATTAAAAGGACCGTTTTGATCACTTTTTACGGTCACTGAATTTTTTCAGTGATTGTTTTGGTCACTAAATTTTTGTTTTTATTTATATTTTTTCCGACTTCTATAAATAATCTCATTAACTCCCAATTTTTTTTCTTTTTTTTAATCTCAATTCTCAACTCTCTTTCTATCAAGTTTAAACTCTTTTGTGCAAAATAGCTTCGATTACTTAGTCAATTATCTACAATTATACAATATTATTATTTTTTTTTTTATAGTTTATTCAGTTTCAATTTCAATTCATCCAATTCTTATTTCTCACTATATTTTTTAAAATTTCGTCCAATCCTTATTTCTCACTACATTTATACTTGTACTAGTTATTATATTTGACTTCATCACAAACAATCAAACAAATGGATCCACACTCATTTTTGGAAATGTTTCATCATGTTTGTTAAATTAAAAAAACTTATTTTGAATGTATGGTAATTATGCATTTTTTCCTTATTTATTTTCATTGTCCAAATGCCCCACAATATGTACAAGGGTAATTCTAAGTGTACATAATTTGGTTTACCTACTCTCATAGGCACGTGATCCCCACACACCTATTGTGAGTGTATGTAAAGTATTAGGTAAAAAAAATTAGGTACATCTAGCATTGTCCATATGTACAAAGTTATTATGTGAATGCTCAAAAAAATTATATTAAGGACCAATGGGATAAAAAAATGTCATATATTGAGACCTCTAAAATTTTATTTTAATAGGGTTAAATCCACCATTGTTCATCCAATTTGATTTTATTTCTTTATAGTCACCGAACCTTATATTTAGTGTCACTATGATCATCCAATTTGCTTTTATTTCATCGTGATCACTCAATTTCTTCTCACCGTGTTCACTAATTTTAAAAGGGATAAAACTATAACTTTATCTTATATATATAAAATAAATTAAAAAATAAAATAAAAAGTTATTTTAAAAAATAAAATAAAATAAAAAATTATTTCAAAAATGATTAATTAAAAAATAAACAAAATAAAAACTTATTTTAAAAAAAGTCTTAAAAAAAACTTTTTAAAAAAGTTAATTAGAAAAATAAAACAAAATAAAATAAAAATTTATTTTAAACCAGTTATTTAATAAAATAAAATAAAATAAAATGAAAACTTATTGAAAAAAATGTTTTTAAAATAAAAAAAATTGTTTTTTTAAAATTTATTTTATATATATAATGTAAAATTACCATATTTTTCCTTTTAAAATTAGTGAAAACGGTGAAAAGAAATTGAATAATTATGGTGAAATTTTATATAAAATTAGGTAGTCATGATAAAATAAAATCAGGATGACCAAAAAAAAAAAAAACAATACCACCCCAACCGTGACCTGTAAATGCCAGTGAAGACCGCTGTACGGCAAGTGCTTCCCATTACGTTTTGTCCGTGACCTCTACGTATTCTCATTTCATTTCCTTCCTAAATCAAATCTTGTAGATTCCAATTATTGCCGCAATACGTATTCGGATCGCTCAATTCTCAAATTAAGGATTCAAAATCAAAATCACGAATCGTATAATTAGAAACGAAATTGCAGATCGGGGCCTCCAACTCGTAAACTCTGACGGCGAGGCGCTCAGGTACGTATGTGATTTAGGTATCTGATTATATTTATGTACATAAATTTTTGATTTGTAATTCTGGGATTTTCTTTTATCTACCCATTCATGCATCTATTGTTGAATTATTTCAAGATTTCCACTGGGGTTGAGTTTTTACGATATATGTTTGTGATTTTCTGTTTGCATTTCTTATTGAAGGGATTTTGTTGGGCCTTTTCTTTTCTTTTCTTTTTACAGGAAATGTGAATGAGAATTAGCGAGTGGCGTCTGCTCACTGCTGATTCTACAGGTATAATTTGTCTGTGTGTGAAAGAATGACCTAAACTCCACGTTGTATTTTTTGTGTGGAATATTCATAATCGGAATTGATTCCCACAGAAATATTTTGATTTTCTTGTCTGAATTTCTCCTTTTTTCTTAGAATTACATTTTCCAAATGTACGGTTTTAATCTTCTTTTTACAGTAAAATCTGTAGGAAAAATAAATTCGAAATTGGTATGATTGGTGCGTCTATGGATTTAACGATTTAAACTTGCATTTGGTATGTAGTAGACCATATAAAGAACTTAGTACAAAATTAGCTCTAAGAGACTCCATTTTGGATAGTTCAATTCTCAAATTAAGGATTAAAAATCAAAAGCACCAATCGTATAAGTAGAAACCCAAATCCAATTGCAGATCGTGGCCTCCGACGCATAAGCTCTTACAGCGAGGTGCTCAAGTACTTATGTGATTAGGTATCTGATTATATTTATGTACATAATTTTTTGATTTATAAATATTACATTCATATATATATATATATATATATATATATATATAATTCACATTATTGGAAATTTGGAATACAATGATGTGTCTTGTTTGGATTATATGTAATTTATGGGAATTGTGTGGATTTTAATTTAGAATTGGGTTGATTAGAAAATCGCTTCGCTGAATTTGTCGTGTTTTGTTTCGAACAGAATGTGTGATTGAAGTGTTAAGAGTTTTAATAAGCTTATGCTTGTATAATTGATTCTCTCGAAGTTATATAAATTGGATTTCAAATTTTCCTTGTCCCTAGTGAACACTGGGGAACACTGAAGCATAACATAGAATGAATGTTTTGTGTTTTTTGAAAATTGATTTGCATGACTTTTTCTGACTAGTTTACACAGATTTCGTGCATTATCCAGTTTATCTGGGTGCATTGCACACTGTCCAATTCGAATGTGTTTTGATGCTGGGATGCACTGTGCATGATGAAAGTACAGATCACCCAAGTTACTGCCTTTGTGATTACTGATTTGATTTGGTGTACATCCCCTATCCCGACCCTAAACCTTAGCTTGAGGTACTGGTCCATTTGTTCTAACTGCCTGTTACTGGCATAGGTGAGGCAGATTGTGGTCAGAAATTTCTGCTAGCTGTATATGCAATGGAAGCAATTGATTTTTGCTGTACGATGTTAGTCATGGCATAGGTCATACTTCATGATGCTTCCAAGCTGTTCTGATATGAATCTCTAGATATGTTTTAACCCCCCCCCCCTTCCCCCCTTTTTTTGCATTTTTTAATTGTTTTGTGTTGGAGTTATTTTTTCTTATTAAGATAAGGTTGCCTTTATTTCCAACTTCAGTTTGGATAATCTGAAAGCCATTGTAATTATATTCTATCTAACTTTTGTATGTACTCATACTCGTTATGAGGTGTGTGAACACAACACAACCTCCATATTAAATCTTCCTTTCATGTCTCATGTCTCCTCTTAATATTCTGTGTTATCTATGCGTAATATTTCTTTGGAATTCTGAACTAGTAAAGTCTGTGTTTAAATATGAGGATCTCCATTACAATACATGAAGAAAGATTTTAATCTATACATAGAGCATCATGGTTGTGAAGGATTTTATTGCAGTAGTGATTGATTGAATGGAGCAGCAAAGAGTATTTATTTAGTGGATTTTAAAATTATTGGGAATAAGGCGTAGTTTGGTTCAAGTTGTTGTTGACTTGCTGCTCTCTCGCTTTATAGTGCGTGCGTTCACAGTTTAATAATTTCTATATGTGGCTAATGTATGTTAGTAATTTTTTGCAGCTGTGAGTTCGTGAAGTAAAAGATGGTGAAACTGACTATGATTGCTCGTGTCACTGATGGGCTTCCACTGGTAGAGGGACTGGATGACGGCCGTGATGTGCCAGATGCTGACTTCTACAAACAGCAAGTCAAGGCTTTGTTCAAAAACCTCTCAAGGGGCCAGAATGAGCCTTCAAGAATGTCGATTGAAACAGGCCCATATGTCTTCCAGTATCCTGTCATGCATTTTAGTAAAGATTTTCTATTTACCTCTTCCTCATGTTTGCGTATGGAGTTGACTAACTAGACAACTTCAACTGTAATGACTTGAGAAAACCTTGCAACTGAAACGAATCTAGATATCATTTTTATTATAACATTTATTTAGGAAAAAAATAGTGCCAATAATGTACTGAAAACATAATTTTTATATTACTACATTTTAATATCTTTATTTGCCCAGTGGTCATTTCCAGTTCGCTTCTTACTTTATACGCACCCTTGCTGTATTCTACACATCAATTGAACATTGTCCGATAATAAAATATTAAAGGGAGATTGGCTTTGGTGATTTTACATTACCTTCTTTACCGTACATCTTAAACCATTGCTTTTAAAAACTAATTTCTGACTTTCCATTATTGTTTTATTTCCTAGTATGAAATACAATTTTGTTGTACATGGATAACATGCCTTTTGAGACCTTTGGAAGATTTTTATCCAATTATCAGTGGAAGTGTTGTAGATGGATAACATGCCTTTTGAGAAATTTGGAAGATTTTTATCTAATTATCAGTGGAAGTGTTCAGTTTTTTTAAACGCAGAACTATAGTTGCTGCTTATAATGTTTTCTCTTTCCCTTCATTGAAGTTTTTAATTTCCTTAACTTGGATGCCTAGTCATATCATTGAAGGGCGTGTTTGTTATTTGACTATGTGCGATCGTGCTTATCCTAAGAAGCTTGCCTTTCAATATCTGGAAGACCTTAAGAATGAATTTGAGCGTGTCTATGGAAATCAGATTGAAACTGCTGCAAGACCTTACGCTTTTATTAAATTCGGTAAGCTATATCTTCGCTTTCTGTTATCATCCTTAATAAATATTGTGTATCTTAGAGTTATTTGTCAAAATAGATACTTTTATTTTCTGAGAAACTTTTATAAGATCTAGTTTCCACTTCGTTAGGGGTAAAATTTTTGCACTTATATGTTGATATATCATTCCTCTTTTCACTTGATTTTGGTAGATACATTCATGCAGAAAACAAAGAAATTGTACCAGGATACAAGAACCCAGCGGAATATCGCAAAATTGAATGATGAACTTTATGAAGTCCACCAGATAATGACTCGCAATGTTCAGGAAGTTCTTGGTGTTGGTGAAAAGTTAGACCGTAAGTGATTCCATCTTTGATGTTTTATGCCTCTCTAAATGTATGATATGTTTTCCTTTTGTTAGTTCACGGTATAAAATATTTTTGCATCCTTTTACATTTCAAGCTAACCTCTTGGGAGATGATAGGCATCCTATTTGTGAGGGTATTTTATTCTCTTATTGTTAATGGCATGCTTATTGTTTCTTTATCTTGTCTCAACTTTATAAAATATCATATTCGTGCATGTTTGCTTCGGGGCTTTTTGCGCATAAGGTTTATGTTCTTATTTTCCTGCATGTTTGATATTTATATTCTTTAACTGTAAACTTTGGCAGAGGTCAGTCAGATGTCGAGTCGCTTGACGTCTGAATCTCGCATATATGCAGAAAAGGCAAAAGATTTGAACCGCCAGGTTAGTTGTATTAAATGTACTTCAGTGCATGTTTCTTTATGGTCCTTTAGGAACCTGTTTTAAACCTCGAGTTTTCTTGTAACCATGGCCAGGGCTATTCAGTTTAAGGATTTAATCCATTTTTTGGTACTTATTTCTGGTGCTTTTTTATCACTGCAAAATCTGAGTACCACAATTACAATTGTCTGTATCCATTAGTGTTATTGGGAAAACCAACGTTTTTTAGGGAAAATTACAGTTGAGGTACCAAACCTTTCGTTTATTAGCAGACTTTGTCCAAATCTTTTGTTTGTACCCCGGAGGTAACAAACCTTCAAAAAATTCGCATCCGGAGTCCAAATTGACAGAAATCATTAGTTTGACTATTATTGCCCAAAAATTAAAGGTCTGACCAATTGTTGATTGATTTTTAAAGGGGCAATTTTGTAACTTTACATTTTCATATAAAAAATTTAAATAAAAGAATTATATTTAAAACCAAAAAAATAAAAAATAAAAAACTCCAATCATCATCTCCACTCACCCCTCCCCCCCCCCCCCCCCCCAAAAAAAAAAAACCAAAGTGAATCATATGGTAAACAACTATGAGAATAGAATATATAATAAAAGCAACTTATAATGAATCAATTAATTTAACAAAACTCACAAGATGGACAAATACCTATATACATGATTAGACTAATGTCCATTATTTTGGTGGGACTCGAATCTGGGATCTTTTAGTCTTGTTCGGTCTTTGCTACTTAACACTAGGTTGTTGGATTTTTGATTGCGAACTTTTACAATATTTTTTTTTGTTTCATTTCGTTATCACCTTCTGAAAATAGATGAGCTCAGTTACCTGCACACGAAATGAATCGTACTTTACTTTTCATTCTTCGATCGTTGGACGCAGGCTCTTATTAGGAAATGGGCTCCTGTTGCTGTTGTTCTTGGAGTTGTTTTCCTCCTCTTCTGGGTCAGAAATAAATTCTGGTAATGCTGCCATTGATGTGCAGCTGATAGTCACTGTTTCAGTATCTTTAATATGCTCGCAGATCGTTGAGGGCCAGAACATTTGTGTCGGTTGCCTGGTTCACCTATGCATTTCATCTTTGGAGGTGACCGGCAATTTTTGGTACAAAAACTACCTTTCTAATTCTGGGAGAAATCAAACCATGTTGATGTTGAGAATAGAAATATATTATTTTAGAGACGAATTGATACATCATCTGTTGTGGGCCGGAACAGATTTCAGTAATACATGCATTTGATATTATTCTGCATCCTTATTTTCTAATATTGCGTTTTTGGCCGACTGCAATAAGATGAGTGTTACAGGTATTGTATTAAATTGTGATGGGAAAAGGTGAATGATTTCAAATTCAACTCACAAATCTTGCAAGGAAAGGATGTGCATTTTGTGCTTCATTATTTTGAGGTTATCTAATTATAATCTTTTTTTTTTTTTTTTTTCCTGATTTGATTTTTGAGCCTGTTTGATTTTGGATTAAAATCTGATTTTAATATAAGTCAAGATCAAATAATTAATATTAATCATATTTTTATGGATTCTATAACTTTTCAATCACACGTTTCAAAAATTTGCATCACAATTTATTAAAAAATTTAATTTTAATTTCTACCAAACACCCTCGGCTTTTTTAGCATAATGTGTATCCCTGGGAATCCCCCCCACTTCTATGTGCAGCCCTCTTACTCCTTGCCCTGTTTTGTGCGACTCCCTAGTCTCTTGTTATATTGCGCATCACCTCTCCACTCCAAGTAAGACCATACCTATTGTAAGGTAAAGGCTGGTTTGGCATAGCTTTTGTTTGTGCTTTTTATAGGAGAGCTTTTTGATAAAGTTACTTTAATTTTTCTTTTAAAATTAATTTTGAAAAACACTTTTTCGTACAGAAGAAATTTTTACAGAAATTTTTACAGGAAGTCACATTGAACCAACTTTTTCCACAAACTCTTCTAATGACTGGAAGCACTTCTATAAAATCAGCCAAACGGGCCTCAAAAGCCATGCCAAGGATTTGGCGGTTGATTTTGATTGAGTTGGATAGGCCTAGCTAAGATCGATTTTGACTACCAAATAAAAAAGGTAGTTTTTTGTGATAAGAATATTATTACATTTTTTACAAGAATTCTAAGATTTCGAGCAAGAAACAATTTCTTACATAGTTACGCCGGCACAAATTATGTGAGATTTCACTTTCCCTTTTCGGGGATTCAATAGTTCAATCTCTTACAGTTAACATGTAAAAATCCTGTAAAATGGAAGCAATGAATGAACCTTGAGCCTAGCAATATATTGAGATCGCCATAGCAGATATCAGTTTTCATGTTCATAGGGTGCAAATAGAATGGATGAGTTGTGTCCCCCAAAGCCAAATGAATTAGAGAGTGCAACCTTTATCTCTAGTTTTTCCTTCTTTGGACCTACAAGTATTCTTGTATCCTGCGTTGCAGCCGGGAAAAAAATAAATAAAGGAAAAGAAAAATGAGGTTCAATAATAGGTTAATGGATTGTGATCAAATTAAAAAATACAGGTAAAGAGTAACCAAATCAAAATGATTAGTGTAATAGCTTACCATGCCTTCATCAGGTTGTTCAAGATTGATATTTGGATGGATCCATCCTGTCTGTATAGCCTTTTTTTGAGGGGAAAAAAAAAAAAAAAAAAAGGTCAGCTGCAGCGACAACAAATTCAGAACAACGGCTAAGAGGCTGTGAAGAACGTTAACACGTTACATGCAGTGTAGTCGTTAAAAGTAGCACCGGAGAAGTGGTCGTGCTAGAAACGAGCCCCTTTTTCAGTGAGAATTACACACTCAATTTTGACACTTTGATCCTTTCAAATCTATACCCATATAAGATTTTGAGTGAATCTCATGGATTGTGGACCTGAAATTTTTTTTTTTTTTTTTTTTTAATTTAATCATGTCTAGTGTTGTCTTGTCTAACTCATCAAACACTCCCTACACTATAGATTCCAAGAGTAGGAGAGTCCAAAGAAAGATTTGCAATGGCAAATTACCTTAACGGTTGCAATAGCTTCCACAGCACCGGCAGCCCCAAGTAGATGACCAACCATAGATTTTGTAGAGTTCATTCGCAGCTGAAACAAACACGATTCGCTCTAAAAATGACAAAGCTAATCTTTTAATCGAATTAGTGCTTAAGATAATCACCTCAGTATTTTGTCCAAAGCAGCGAATAATAGCCTCGAATTCTTTCAAATCATCTGATGGTGTCGAACTAGCATGAGCATTTATGTAATTGACATCTTCTCTAGCTACCCCTGCCTGAGCCAAGGCTCTCTCTATGCATAGAACAATTCCTGTTCCTGTGTTTTATAAGAAAATAATAGCTATAAGTAAACAATCCCTGGCAAATCATGCATTAGAGAATGTTACTACATGATTCCACGTCCCGTGTGGATGCCGAACTGGACCCACATATAGAGAAGGGAGCCATGTGACCGAAAAAATGATGTCACTACAAAATAAGGATCGGTCAAGCTTTGCCATAATTGCTTGACAACAGTGAAGCTATTAGACTTCTCCCTGTGCTCCGTCTAATTGGGTCGAACACTTAAATTTGTAGAACTCATCCCTACTTAAAAGAAGAGAGTAGTTAGCCTTAGCCCAATGCCCCGAACTCATTATAGGGGAACTAGTTTACTCAAGATTAATTGGATTCCAGCAAAACATCCCAATCGAAAAATATGACAAAACTTCTTGTCCCCTTTAAAAGAAGCAAACAAGATCCTCTTGGCCATGTGGCAGTTGGAGCAGCTGCCACATAGCAAAACGATTAGTGAGTATGCGAAAAAGATTATACGAAGAATCTTGTGAAAGCAATAACCCTATTAATGGGTGAATGCCACCGTGTAATGGATGGAATCATAATTTAAAAAAAGAAAAAAAGAAGAAGGTGTTTTAAGAGATTGTCCCCCGTGGCATAATCCAGTGGTGCAAAAGACAGGAATGAAGTAGTCTCAGCCTTAATGGCAGCCGCAGTGTGAGGGTTCGATTCCTGAGATATGGAATTGAACTCTTTGTGGGCATCAGTGTACAAGCAAATTCTTGTTTCTTGCCTTGATGGAACACATTCCGCAATTTACCTCTCTCATGATGCTCCAGGGGCGGGGCGATGGGATCCCTCAAGGTTGGGGTTCAACCTTTAAAAAAGTGTTTTAAGAGTCCTCCAATGATAAGGTTGTCTTGTCCAAACAGATGAAAGATACTAAAAAATTCATGGGCTTGAGATATTCATAATACCCCAGATATTAGAAGGAAAGCAAGTTCCTGTTCTTCATCCTCTTGCCTTGACAGCAATTCTCTATGGTGCCAGAAAAAGGCAATAAAAGGGTCGTTTGACAACGAGGTGGCAAGGGATTTGTTAGCTTTCATTTTTTAAGGTCAACAGAGAGAGTAAAAAAGAAGCCACAGTATATCAAATGCTCAGCCAAAATGTAAATGTAATTTGTATACATTATAGAAAAAAAATTTAACCTGGATTTCACATCAACAACCTAGCTGACACAGAGACACAGATGGGGACTCGACCAAGACAGCCAGATCATGCAAATAGCCTTAGATAGTGTGGGGGGGCTAGATGACAGACCCATGAGACCAGTCAAATCTGAAGGAACAAACAACTCCATCGATGCCCGAGTCATCTCATGCTGAAGGCAAATTAACGAGAATCTTACCACAAATAAAGTCCCTCTCACATAACAATGAGTCTCCTCTGATTGTGAATGTGAATGAATAAAACTCTAAACTAGCTAAAATAGAAATTGATATTAGCTTAGGGATAATGATCAACCTATACACATCTCAGTTAATGCAATTCACATAAGGATCACTAACTGGCACTTCCGTGGGTATAAATACAAGTGTTTCCAGGTTACACATTATAAGCCAATTTAATTCCACGTTAATGTCTTAACCATCAGAGTGTCCACGAGGATCATCATTCAACTTTGCAGGTACACTTTGACGCTTACAAGACCCACAATTTTACACCTGCTGAGGTTTGGTCCTAGTATACTTGGCATCAATGTAAATAATCAACAAAACCAAGAAACTAAGAGACAATGAACTAAACATCTTTCAAATCATATTGAGATGAGAAAATAAAGGCAAAACCAACTCAAGCATATACCCATGACATAAGACTTAAACATTGCATGACTGATAAAATAATCATAAGTTTGCTACCCGTTTCATTGAGAATATAGCTAAACGAGGTAGTAAATGCAAAATGCAGCGCTTGGACGATATGCTGAAACTTCTGGGATTGGATGCTTACCATCTGGACGTGGTTCAGTCATGTGATATGCATCGCACGTAAAGCTTCCACCTAAAACCTCTGCATATATAGTTGCACCTCTCCGCTAACATATTAATACATTCTTCAGCTTAAAATTTTGACATTATCGCTAAGAAATTTATTGAATGTACATACATGCATTTATTAAGTGACATAGAGGCATACCTTAGCGTGCTCTAGTTCTTCTAATAGTAGTACACCTGCTCCTTCTCCCATAACAAATCCATCACGATTCTGTTCCATAACAAAATCGAAACAAATGTTGATTGTAAGTGTGTCGAAAAGAAAAATAATAGTGTATTAAAGGATGAGAAATCCAAGATGGTGATTTAAGACTTAAGTGTGATGCAATACCATATCCCAAGGACGAGAAGCTTTGGTTGGATCCTCGTTCCTCTGTGAAAGGGCTCGGCAGGCAACAAATCCTCCCAATCCTGCAATTACTCATAATTTGTCGGTGAGCAGCAAGAATATGGATAACTAGAGTCACATCCTGACTGAATTATGACGAACCTAAGGGAATAATAGCTGCATCAGACCCACCACAGAGCATCATATTCTGACACAGGCATTGACAACAGAAATGAGAAACCTCGGAAATTAGGATCTTAGAAAAACAATGAAAGCAGAAACAAATTTAAGGCATTTGGACAAGAGGTAATATAGAAACTTACTGTTTCGCCTCTTATAATATGATTTGTGGCATTTAGTATACAAAAGTTGCTAGTAGCACAAGCTGTAGAAATTGAGTAATTTGGACCCATCCATCCCTGCAGTTTAGCAATCAGAACATATTTACAAGATTGCACGAACAATGTTCCGATTTTCAATGACTTATTTTGACATTATAATTTAATTTACCAAATCCATAGCAAGAATTGCAGAGCCCATGTTCGTCGATG